TAGAGGAAATTAAAATTCCCACCCCCTAAAGAGTGAAAAATATATACAGTATCTGCAACATCACAAATCTGTGGGTCCATTCTTATAATGTTTCCTGGTAACCAAAACTGTCCAACATTTGAGAGACCTACACAAGGCATTGTAGTACAGTTGCAGCTCATTCAAGTCTATACGACGTTAGCAGGGTGGATAAAAAAATCAAATAAATCAGATTTTTTTTTTATTTAACCACTTGCCGCCCTGCCACTGCATATATACGTGTGCAGGGCGGCACTGGGGCGCAAAAGCACATTTTAAAATGTGCTCCGCGCTCCCGACCTTTTCGCGGGCAGGGGGCGCATGCGCGCTCCCGCCGACCCGCGGGTGACACCATTTGATCCCGGAGGGATCAATCATTCGATTTCAGCCAGTGATGTCTGGCTGAAATCAGATGATCGGTCCCTGTCCTATCCTGTCCTGTGTTGACAGTTACACAGGACAGGATATGATGTCATTCTTCTCTGCCTGGACACATTCCGTTCCAGACAGAGAAGAAGACATACAAATTGTGAGTAAAACAGCACATACCCACAGTTAGAACACACCTAGGACACATTTAACCGATTTTTACTGATCACTGTATCAGTGTCGCTGGCGACTTCCGATAGTGTTAGCGCCCCTCCCAGATAGCGCCAGATTGCCCGCCAGTACACCAGTAATCCCGTTTAACCCCCCTTGATTGTCCCCCCCCCCCCCCCAGTTAACCCCTTCACTGCCCTGTCACCAGTGTCACTGATCAGTGAACCGATTTTTACTGATCACTGTATCAGTGTCACTGGCGACTTCCGATAGTGTTAGCGCCCCTCCCAGATAGCGCCAGATTGCCCGCCAGCACACCAGTAATCCAGTTTAACCCCTTGAACGCCCCCCCCAGTTAACCCCTTCACTGCCCTGTCACCAGTGTCACTGATCAGTGAACTGATTTTTACTGATCACTGTATCAGTGTCACTGGCGACTTCCGATAGTGTTAGCACCTATCCCAGATAGCGCCAGTTTGCCCGCTAGTACACCAGTAATCCCATTTAACCCCTTAATCTCTCCCCCCCCCCCAGTTAACCCCTTCACTGCCCTGTCACCAGTGTCACTGATTAGTGAACCTATTTCTACTGATCACTGTATCAGTGTCGCTGGTGACTTCCGATAGTGATAGCGCCCCCAGTAATCCCAGATAGCGCCAGATTGCCCGCCAGTCACACCAGTAACCGATTTTTATCCCGTTTCCGATAACCGCTTGAGCGGCCCCTCCCCGCCCCCCCTAGTCTAACCCCGCCCCCCCCCCCCCCCCCCCCCAGTTAACCCCTTCACTGCCCTGTCACCAGTGTCACTGATCAGCGAACAGATTTTTACTGATCACTGTATCAGTGTCGCTGGCGACTTCCGATAGTGTTAGCGCCCCTCCCAGATAGTGCCAGTTTGCCCGCCAGTACACCAGTAATCCCATTTAACCCCTTGATCGCCCCCCCCCCCCCCCCAGTTAACCCCTTCACTGCCCTGTCACCAGTGTCCTTGACTACAGTGAACAGATTTTTACTGATCACTGTATTAGTGTAACTGGTGACTTTCGATAGTGTTAGCGCCCCTCCCAGATAGCGCCAGTTTGCCCGCTAATGCACGGGATTTTTTTTTACCAAAAACATGTAGCATAATACATTTTGGCTTAAATTTATGACTAACTTTGAGTTTACGATATATTTTTTATAGCTGAAAGTAGAAAATATTGTTTTTTTCTCAAAATTTTCGTGTTTTTTTTTGTTTAAAGCGCAAAAAAAATAAAAAGCGCACAGGTGATAAAATACCACCAAAAGAAAGCTCTATTTGTGTGAAAAAAAGGACGTCAATTTCGTTTGGGTACAGCATTGCATGACCGCGCAAATATCATTTGAATTAGTGCAGCGCTGTATAGCAAAAAAAGGCATAAATTACAGTATCTATACCATAGTTTGTAGACGCTATAACTTTCACACAAAGCAATCAATATACACTTATTGGGATTTTTTTTACCAAAAACATGGAGCAGAATACATTTTGGCTTAAATTTATGACTAACTTTGAGTTTACGATATATTTTTTATAGCTGAAAGTAGAAAAATATTGTTTTTTTTCAAACTTTTCGTGTTTTTTTTTTTTGTTTATAGCGCAAAAAATAAAAAGCGCACAGGTGATAAAATACCACCAAAAGAAACCTCTATTTGTGTGACGTAAAGGACGTAAATTTCCTTTGGGTACAGCATTGCATGACCGTGCAATTATCATTTGAATTAGTGCAGCACCAAACAGCAAAAAAAGGCCTGCCTGGTCATTAAGGGGGGTAAATCCTCAGGAGCTCAAGTGGTTAAATCGGATTTTTTTAAAATTTTTATCAAATTTATTTTAATAAAAATGCTTTTGGAGTAAAAATCTATCTAAAGATAGTTTTCTATTTAAGATACATTAATAATTTAGTTTGTTCAGCATGAAATGGAGCTTAGTTATGCAGCATGAGGCTGTATATTGTGCAATATTTACATTTTTGGTTAACTTATTCAATGAATCCAAGTTCTGCAAGCTGAGATAACATGCACTGCATTGATGCATTCACACAATTTCACAGTAACCATGAGAAAAAACATGAAATAAAAGAATATGAGTAGTTCTTCAACTATGTGTGATTAACCTAAAATCGGTTCTGAAATCGCTGTTTTACTAACCTGACAGCTTATTCTAAAAAGGAAACCTTCATTTGGTTTGCAAATATTAAAGATTCTAACTACCAGCAAGAATGAGTCAGATTCCTTACATTTGAAGAGCACCTGTCATTTTAGATCCATCATGGCAGCGCCTGTTAGCGGGCATCCACTCCCCTGCTGCTGCCACCACATTCCCTCACCTTGTTGTTTCACTGCGGCAGCACCAGCTGTCCCATTAAAGAGAATGGGACTGTCGGTGAGTCAGCAGCGGGTCAGAGGAAGAGCCGATGCAGGACAGAGATGACAGTTGCTCTTTAAAAATTATGATTTAAATCGAGCCTTTTCACTAGTGATTTAAATCAAATCCACCCTGGACGTTAGTGTTCAGGCGTTGGCAGTCTTACACTAGGTTTTCCTGAGCGGGTTGCAGATAGCACAGGAGGCCACAGCTGTCAAAGCAGGTAAGTACAGAACTGCAGAGCAGGATATGACTGTGTGTATTGAGGGGACTAGGGAGGTGGGCTGGGAGAATTATTTGTAAAAGGTGAATCTCTTTTTTTCAAAGCATGTACACATAGCAGTACTTTCATAATCCATTCCATCAGCTAACTCATGAGTATTCGTCCTTTGCAGAAAAAGTACAGTATAAGCAGACTCAACAACCCTGTTAGTAATGTGCAAACAAACTTTTATAAAAACATCAGCAGCTAAGCCCTTGTCTCTATCTACAACATAGTTCCCCCCCTTTTTTTTTCAACCTTTAGCAGGGCTCACCTGTCAAGTGAAAGCATTCAGGCAGCTGCGCTGCCGCCTGATTGCTTTCACATAGCCCACTACAGTGCCAGCTTCCACCCCCTCCCGTGCGAACCTTCCCCCGCTCATTATGTCTCCCGGGCTTCACTTGTACATCTGCAGGCCCAGACTGGTTCAGTGTGTACTGGCGGGTAGAGGGGAAGGACTTGAAAGTGATGTTATGGCGGCTCCCCGTTCTGACCTCCTGACCATGGTTGGGAAAGAATGTAATGCAGTGTGACGTATATTACATTCAGGGGAGACATGCAGGGTCTTTTAGACCCTGGATGTCTCAATAAACAGGACCTGTCATTAAAAATCATCATATAGGGGACTTTTTGTCCCCTATGGGATGAAAAAAAAATTAGGTAAAAAAAAAGTTTACACCCAAGCACATAACCGTCCCCTCAAACAAAAAAAATTTGAGGCCACCCACCCCCACATATACACACGTACAAACATAAAAGTATGCGCTGGGTTTCCTTCGCATGAAAATGTTCATTGCATATCGCCGCGCACGCCAGAATGAGAGGAATAATTCTAGCATCAGACCTCCTCCGTAATACTATACTGAGAGCTTTAAAGGGTTGCCTATAGAAAATATAGGGTACTGAAGTGTGTTGCCATTTCACGAGTGCACACAAATTTAAGGTTTGACATGTTGGATATCTATTTACTTGGTGCACCACCTCTTTTATTTTTCCCCCAAAAAATAGGGTATTTTGTTGCTTTTTGTGCCCTAAAACTAACTTGTTGGGGAATATGATCTACAATTTATTTTTTTTTACTGAAATTTTGCATTTCCTAGACCTTTGCGGTAATATTGTGGGACATGAAAAATTGGAACTACCACTATATTATTCTCTAGGATCTCTGCTTTCAGAAAATATATATGTTTGGGGGTTTTGTGTAATTTTCAAGCCTAAAATGCTTTTTTAAACGTGCAAAAAAAGCAAAAAACGGCTCTGGCAGCAAAAGGGATAAAGGATAAGCCCGACACTTCCCTTTCCTGAGGAGCGCCCAATCAGTGCTCATCACACTGCAAGGTCTCTCCCTCCCTGCTAGCCCCCGGGTGCAGTGCTGGAGACAAGCAGGAAGGGGGGGAGAAGATATACAGCGCAATGTTAAAAAAATGAAAAGTTTAAGTCGCCATAAAGTCCCAGACATTCCTAAAATTAAATTGGTTACATTTTTTTTTTTAATCTGGACAAGTAGATTGTTATGCAGGACAAATAGATTGGGATTTAGTCCCTGGACAAGAAGTTTTTAAAAATAATTTCCACACCCCTGTAGCGGTGTCTTTGATGAATAGGCTATGAATGATAACTTATCTCCTCTATGCTATGCAACAGGCAAAATGGTGGAAGCCAAGAGGGCCTTAACTAGGTCATAAGGACAGACTAGGGTAGAGTGGTTTGTTTAATAATTATGGACTAATTAGTTCATACTTTGAGCAGTTCATATTTAGCAGCAGTTTCAACAACATATACATGTTAGCTTACCATGTACACGTCCTTGTTGACACCAAGATATTTCCCATTGCCACAGCCCACATCAGCCACAAGAGAACCCATTGGCAAAGACCTGAGAAAGTCCACCACTCTGGGCCATGGAGTGTGTCTGGTGCTGCTGAAATGGCCAGCAATGTCCTCATACACCTTGTGGACATATTCCTTTTCCATGGCTGCTGCTCCCAAGTCTCCCACCACAGGAGGGAAACCCCTTTTCTGCTCTTGTTGACTGTCGCAAACTGATGGGAAGGCTGCACAAGCACAGAAATGATTCGTGTAAATTTACAAAGATATTCAAACTGTTTCTAAACCACATATTTCAGCCGTCTGCCTCAGTGTCACCCACATACATCCCCCATGCCTTTGCACAATGGTTGCATTTTTAACATTCGAAGGATAGCAGCAACATTTACAACTTTAGTGCTTCCGCTGAGAAGCATCCAAAAACATATATAAACAATTGTCTTGTGTCAATTATGCTACCTACTTACCTGCACATTGGTTGGTCCACTCTACTCTTTTAGAAAGTAATCCACAAATGGTGGTCAAATAGGTGCCTACTGCCCATAATATTATGCAGGAAAACAAAATAAATGGTTGCCTGGCTCTTAAAAAATAACATCTCATTCTGCTTAAATTATATCCTAGTGAAGAACAATTAAAGTTGTTCTAAAGGCTCAAGATTTGTTTACCTTCATGCATAGAATGCATGAAGGTAAAAAAATTTTGAGCCTTTAGAACAACTTAGAGCAGCCCCCCTAACACTTACTTGAGCCCCATCCCGATCCAGCGATGTCCACGAGAGCCTCGATTCTCTGGGGACTCTCATTCCTGATTGGGTGAGGCAGTCAATCACAGCCAGTGAGTCAATCAGGAGAGGGAGGGGGGCAGTGGCAAGCCACAGCTCTGTGTGTGAATGGACACGCGGCTCAGGACTGCACCTGCTTGGGTGCCCCCATAGCAAGCTTCTTGCTGTGGGGGCACCTGAGAGGGACCAGAAGCAACAGCGGGGGACCTAAGAAGAGGAGGAGCCGAGCTGCTCTGTGCAAAACCACTATGACATGTTTATTTATTTATTTTAAAAACGACTTTATTATCACTTTAAATGGTAAGGTTGGTAATGCCAACACACGAATATACTGATGACTATAAATACCTTAAGATTCTGACACGCCATTTTTTCCTAGTGTTATCATGACTGTGTAATATGACAACACAACTGATGGATTTAAAGAATAACTCAACATTTTCTATAAATACAGTCCCCTCTAGATGATCTTTTTACATTTTTAAGGATTTTATCTAACTTTTTGCAAACTCCCAGTTTTTTGGTTCTGCAATAGTCTTTTTGGGTCCATGCACAGTGGGCCTATAAAAAAAAAAAAAAAGCTAGTTTCCTAGCGCTCACATTTGTGTACAGGTGTTTAGGAGCAGTCAGTGGTTTTTTTGTGCCTGAAAACTGCTCTCAAAAACACAATTCAGAAGGGTTTTTTTCTGCCTCTAAACACTGAGCTTAAAATATGCTTCTAAATCTCCTAATGTGCATGGACACATCAGATAACATTCAGCTGCTTCTACAGGCAAAATGCAAAACTCCTCTAGAAGCCAGTTTGCATGGACCCTTCCAGTCTTACTCTCAAATGTAAAGCAGACCATAGTTTATGCGATTGATTCCCCCATCAACATAGTCAGTGTTGATGGGAGAATCCCTCCAGTGGAGCTATTGTGTTCTCCCAGCAGGGGTGCGTGGAGCAATCCCTGCCGGGAGAACACAATGATTACTGCTAGCGGCTATGGCCCTTGCATTAATTGCATGTTAAAAATCCAACATGCTGGTTGTATCCAAGTCGATTGATGAATCGACTTGGGTACAATCAGCCTGCCCGTTGATGGATCAACTTAGGTACAATCAGCCTGCCCAAAGATGGATCGAATCTCAGACGCTCCTTGCTGGACTGGCCGATATTTGATCCATCTATGGCCAGCTTTAGGGTCAGCATTCATTATAACCCCCTAGGCAAATCTCAGTACGCTACTGAAAAATGTTGCATTGTCTGCATCACTTTAGATACAGACAATAGTCAAGGAGTATCCCACCAAAAAGAAACTTCTATTGCAGAGTATGACTAAAACCTGGCTTGTATTACAGTGCAGACTTCTAAGAAAAGCATTGAGCAAATCACACATTTTTGGTATCCCATAAATCAACAGTGTACAGAACACCTCTAGGTTGCCATATTAGAAAGTTTCACAAAATTAAAGGGGTTGCAGAGATTGAAATGGAAGGGTAATTTTTAATAACAGCGCAGTGGCTTAGTGGTTAGCACTTCTGCCTTATACCACTAGGACTAGGGTCAATTACGTCAATCCCAACCAGGACACTATCTGCATGGAGTTTGCATGTTCTCCCTCTGATTTTGTGGGTTTCCTCTGAGTACTCCAGTCTCCTCCCACACTTCAAAGACATGCCTGTATGTTAATATGTATATATGTTATAAGATCCTTAAGGGTAAGGACTAATATGAATGTTTAACATTTACACATATGTAAAGGGCTGTGTAAAACTGTTGGCATGATATAATTATGTAGATAGATATATACATTTAAAAAAAAAATATAACTAATGTTGAGTTTTCCTTTCAATGAGAGCATAGCTGAGGGGAAATCTGTACTGAAATGAATATGTAGGCTGCCATTACTGACCTCCTTCAAAAAATCCTAGTTGCCTATCTGCCTCTGGCTTCAGTTCTAAAACACTTACAGTCAATCACACAAATTTTTTACCATTATAAATTTGCTGGTAAAATTTGTGTAACTGTATTTGTATGACAAATTTAAAGTAGAACTATGGCCTGCTATCAAACCTAAATATGTCCTGCAGCACTTAAACATATCTGCACTTTTCTTTTACTCCCTTTAAAAGGTCCAATAAATACTTGTAGATCCTATCAGCGAAGTCAACCTAATGTACCTTCCTGTCATGGGGTGACAACGTTGCTGCACTATTTCTGAATTCAGAGTTCCTTTTTCACCATTATGTAGGCTGTGCCTGCCTGTGCTGCAGTGAGATGAGAAGATGAGCTTTGTCACTGCAGATTGTGAAACACAAATGAAAGAGGATTTGGCACACCCAAGGAAGTAAAGGATTTTTTGTTTTTTTACTTTATGAGGTTTCTGCAGCTCATAGTAAATTGGGGCCTGTTTAAACTGTCACACAGGAGCCTTTACATATAACTTAAATAAGCCTTGTTCAATGTCTCCCTAGATCTCCCACATCGCTCCTCTGTATATATTAGGAAGTGAAGCCAGAGAATGACAGATGTGGAGAGCAGGAAGGAGCTCCAAAATGTAAAATAAATATATATGGCAGTGTTTACAACCCAGAGTATTTTCTCATTCCGCTCATATATTTTATTAACAAAAGAAACAACAACAAAAAAACAACAACCACCAAATTCTCTAAGAAACGCACCGCATTTACAGGGGCCATGTCTGATTTTCCTGAAAGTGAAGGATGTTCTTGTCCCCCTCTTGTTTAACGTTAACTCCTCTGTGTTCCTGCTGACAGTCCCAACTTTCTGCCCTTCTGACACTTGAATCACATCAAACTTTCTTGGAGTGATGCTGGAATGAAGGAAAATAATTACATGGTGTGGAGCAGGGACAAGGAAAAAATGGTCTTAGCAGTCACAATGAAGTGTCAAAGTCAATATGCAGCTGTTGAAACTGTCAGCCGCACAGCCATTACATTAGGAGGGAAAAAAGGAAAATGGTTTTTGCTATTGAAAAATAAATGAAGTGGAAACATCTATAAAGAACTAATAAACTGGTCAGTTTATGAGCTGTTTTGTCTTCCAAAAGACCCTATACTTTACGATAAGAGATGCACTGTGATGCATGCTGTTGTATTAAAAAAAGGGCCCTTTTATAGCCGATTTACTGTGCTGTCATGACACAGAGCAAGTAGTAATTTCATCCATATGTTCCGATACCACCTGTATGTATGTATTGATATCTGCTGTCTGTCCTCTGTCTTCAAATTTGATGTACTTTTTCATAGGCTTTTTTGAGTTTGGGCAAGGACACAGGGGCCCCATGATCCCCTATTGTCCGGGGGCCCCATGAGTTGTCAGTCCGCCCCTGTGAAGTACTGTACGTGCCATACCTGTGGGATCCCCCTGGAAAGCACTGTAGTAGACATTGTTGCTATAGTGATCTCCACTAGCATCTGGTTCTTGTACTAAGTGGATTCCCTGCTGCATTGCAAACTCAGCAGATTGCTTTCTTGGCACAGGTGCCATTCATGGAATGCTTTGCATTTTCTCAGTGATTCTCTGATTGGACGAGGTGGAGATTGTGACAGGGCAGCCACTTGGAACAGGACCCAGAAGCTAGTGGGGATCGATGTAGTAGCAGTGCCTACTACAGTGATTTCTAGCTGTAATGGGCAAAGAAAACCTGCCTTATGTACATATGTACAATTTATAAGTATAAATGGGACTTATTATTTAAGACACATCAATACAATTAAAGTGGAACTGTAGATAGATATACAGGGATGCACAATTTCTATTTCCCAATGCCTGGGACATCCAGTTCCGGACACCGGGCAGGTGGCTTTTTTTTCTACGTTTAGCCCTGCTGCTGTCCGATTGCTTCCACACACCCCAGTAAGTCTGCTCTTCTCCCCACCTTGTTTCTGACCTGGAAGTGATGTGCATGACGTCACTTTTGGGTCCCCTGTTGTCAGTGTCCCTGGCCATCGAAGCCAGGAAAAAAAAGCAATGTAGTGCGATCTGCACTGCATTACATTCAGTGGAGTACAGGGTTTTGATGTCTCATTAGAACCTGTCACCAAAAAAAAATCACTTTTTGTCTCCTATGTGATTCAAAAAAAAAAATTAAGTAAAAAAAACTTTTTTTTAATTGGAAAAAATTAAAGTTACACCCAAGCACATACAATTTCCCCCATATATGCACATACAAACTTAAATCGTAAATGCGCAGGTCAAGGTGGCTACACAGGCAAATGTTGATTGCAATACACAATACATATCACCACGCATGTTGGAATGAGTGTAATAATTCTAGCATCGGACCATCTCCGTAACATTAAACTGATGACCTTAAGGGGCTTCTAGCGTCATCTATAGAAAATATAGGGTACGTCTGTCGCCATTTCACGGGTGCACACAAGTTTAAGCTTTGACATGCTGGATATCTATTTACTCAGTGCAACCTCATCTTTTACATTTTACAAAAAATGGGTAATTTATTGCTTTTTATTGTGCCTTAAAATTAAATTTAGTGTTTTTTACTGAAATTTTACTTTTCCTAGACTTTTGCGTAATGTCATGTGACCTAAAAAATGTGAAACTACCACTATTTTATTTTCTAGGGTGTCTGCTTTCAGAAAATTTAATGTTTGGGGGTTTTATGTAATCTTCAGGCTTAAAACGATTTTTTAAACGTGTGCGAAAAATGTAAAATCGGCTCTGGCAGCGAAAGGGTTAAAAGATAAGTTCACCTTCAGGAACATGTTTCATGTTCCACCTGTTTTTAGGGTGAAAAATGTTCTCGCTCCTGTAGCAGCTCGGTGATCCGAGCCCTCTGTGTGACAGCAGCACGGGCAGAAGTTCACCGTACTAGCTGTCACTTCTTGAAAAGAGTGTGGCTGTGTGGGGTCCCACCCACATGGTCGCTTCATTAATTTACAGAGTTCTATGAATTAATCAACCACAAGTACCGACATCCTTTGCAGATGTTGGCTTGTAGTTCTCAATGAGCTACCACAGTGCTGGTGAGTGCTCTGGTAGTTCCTTGATTCTTCCTGTCAATGTGAAACTGCCTGACTGTACGATGTAGAACCAGACAGCCTACACTAACAGTCTGCAAGAGCCTTGCATTGCTAATGGCTTTCCAGGCTCCAAATAAATAAATAAATAAATAAATAAAATGTAAACACACATTTAGTTTTTTTACCTGTAAAAAAATTAGCTTTTATTATTTTTGTTTAAAGGTGAGCTTATCCTTTAACCGCTTACAGACCGCCCTATAGCAGATATACTGATACAGGGCAGCACCTGTAGACAGAATCAAGTAAACATACGTCGTTCTGCATTTACGGGTAGGGGAGCCCTTTTGCGTATGTCGATCACTGGGCCCTGGACGGTTATTACCCACCGGCGCCCGGTGATTAGCGAGCATCTCCAATGTTTTGTTTACAGTCTTCCTCCCTGTCAGCTTGAGCACACTGCTCGGGATGGCTGTGCACAGTACAGCCATCCCGATCAGTGTGCTTACAGTGAAGTACACAACCCCCTCCCCTAGTAAAACACTCCCCCAGCACACGGCTAACCCTTTTATCACCCCTCACATTAACCCCTTCCTGCCCAGTGCCATTAGTACAGTGTCAGTGCTTTTTTTTTAGCACTGAGCACTGTATTGGTGTCACTTGGGTGTCAGTGACACTAAGTTAGTTCCCCCCCAGTGTCAGAATGCCCGCCGCAGTCCCGCTAAAAGTCGCTGATCACTGCCATTACTAGTAGAAAAAAAAAAATCCCATTATCTATACCGCCATTTGTAGATGCTATAACTTTCACGTAAACCAATTAATTTACACGTGTTAGGATTTTTTTAGCAAAGACATGTAGCTAAATATATTTTAGCCTAAATTTATGCCGAAATTTGATTTTTTTTATTTTTTTCACTGGACATATTTAATAGCAAAAAGTCCAAAATATTATTTTTTTTCTCAAAATTGTCGGTGTTTTTTTGCTTATAGCGCAAATATTTTTTAAAAAACACAGGCTATCAAATACCACCGAAAGAAAGCTCAATTAATGGAAAAAAAAGGAAATTTCATTTGGGTGCAGCGTTGCATGACCGCGCAAATTGTCAGTTAAAGTAATGCAGCGCTGTAAACGCAAAAAATGGCCTGGTCATGAAGGGGGGGTAATTCCTCAGGTGGGCAAGTGGTTAATGGAATGGATACAGGAGTTTGATTTGGCTGCTCAGCATGTGTTAGTACTGAGCGCCCAACTGCTTCCATGTGCGAGGGTAACCTGAAGGAATTATTTTGTTTGTTTTTTTTTCATTAGGGCCGGCATCTAATTTACTTGCTCACTCAGATATGCTTCTGCTGAGTGTTAAGAGAGCCCGACACTCCCTTTTCCTGCTGAGCACTCAATTGGTACTCGTCACACTGCAAGGTCTCTCCCCTCTCAGCTAGTCCCCGGGTGCGGTGCTGAAGGCAGGCAGGGAGGTAAGCAGGAGATAAACAATGCAACGTTAAAAATTTTAAAAGTTTATGTCGCCATAAATCCCCTTTGATTTTTTAAAAGCCCCAGACATTCCAAAAAGTGCCTCAGATTTAAATAGGGTTTTGGTTAAAACATTTTTCTTTTAATCAGGACAAGTAGATAGAGACCCCGATTTAATCCCCTGGACAAGTAGTTTTTAAAAAAAAAAAAAAGCCAAATCCCTGATATAAAAGACCTAGGTTAATGCAGCTTTGTAATGATTATTGCACCATTACGTGTTTTTCAAATATAAGCATTTGAAGGATTTGAATGTTACCATGCATAACCCTCTTCCAGTTGTTGTATAGCAGAGCTGGGGTGTGAAAGGATGAAGCAGCACAAGAATCCAATCAATTCACGTAAGGACAAGAAGCATGCTGATAGAAGGAGAAAGCAGAGTAGCAGAGAGATGAGCTCCTCACTGTGCTGCTTCTCCTTTCACAATCCAGTCACAGGCTGGGAGCAGGTCCAGGACCACCTGAGTTCAAAGGAAGAGAGTTGAGTGATACTGGCCAAAAGACTGAGCCTGGAAGGTAGCAACGACTGTAGCATCAGTACCTACTACAGTGATTTCAAGCTTCCACAGGGATCCCACAGTTAGGGCACATCAGGGTGGATTTGATTTAAATCACTAGTCAGTAAGGCTTGATTTAAATCCTAGTTTTCTACATAGACTAATTCTTGCTGGTATAACTTTAATATGCAAGTAGATGAAGATTTTTAGAATAACAACTTTTCATATTAGTTTTTTTATCCCCAGTTTAATAGGTTAATCATTCATATTTGGACAACTTTTCTGTTGTACTTAGGAACGAGAAAAATAATCATTACCTTAATAATAACAATTTAAATAGATTTATACAACTGAAACAATAACATTCCAGCATATGTTATTTGCGTAAACAAACATCCATGTTTAACTAATTTGGCTAAACAAAATATATATATTTTAAGAAACTTAGACTGTCAGCCCCTTCCTCCTCACACTTAGTTTCACTTTCTTCTTGTGCAGATCTATTCCACTCCAAACAATCAGAAAAATATTGTTTCTATTCTATTCACTGAGCTTCTTGAAACGTAGCACTGAAGGGGTTGATTCTGTATTCATAGGTTTGTAGAAGTTAGGATTAAGGTCTTTTTCTTAACTCTGTTCATGTTATAACATTTTTGCTGTGAAGAAGAGGCATGTGATCTCCGCTGAGTCAAATTCAGTTTTGAGAACTGCAAAAGTAAACCAATCATCTGTGATAATATCTTGTAGGCAGAGAAACTGCCCAATAATCCTACAAAAACCTCTGGAAGAGCATGACATTGTGAATGGAT